CGTCGCCCTTACCGGGGCTCAGGGACCCCGCCACCAGCGGCGTCCGCGACTCCAGACTTTCCGCGTCCGGCGCGCAGCGCGCATGCGCACGCTCCCTAGGGGCCCCACCCGTCAGGGTCCCCCTACCGACGTTGTCGTCATGGAAACCCCGGGACTGCGCAGCCTCGGGTTTCAAGGGGCCGAGGTGGGCGGTGACTGACCCAGGAGCCGGTTCAGAACCCCGGGAAAAGCGCCACTCATCGCAGCCCAAACCAGACGATCCATAGTACTGCCTGCTGAGCCAGACCCCGGCCTAGTTCTTTAAAGGGATGGAAGAAGTCGCCACTGACTTTAGCAGAGACTCGACATAAGCAAAGCACTACTGGAAAGGGTAAGTGCTACGTCTCTCTGCCTCCGCTCAATGCCTCCTACTCAGCCGAACCCACAACCCACCCACCACCAACGGAGGTCGGATTCTGCCAGCGAACTGAACCACGTGAGCTGGGTTAGAGATGGACCCTTCCACAAATGGTGCTGGCAACATCGGATTGGCAGTTGCCAAAGAAGTCAGGACCCATACCTTCCTCCATGTACAAAGCCACGCAAAATGAACCCAGGCTGGATGGGACGCCGACACGTCAGCCCTGGAGGGATAAAGACCCCCACCCGCGGCACCATCACACCAACGGGAAACACGCGGCAGGACCGCCGACACCTGGGACCACGTGACAAGAGAAACGCTGTGCGGCGTCGGGAGATTTCACGGAGAAAAGTAAAAAGAGAACCCACAGGGTCGAGGGGAGAAATTGGGGGAGGGGGTCAATAGCATATCAGACAAGGGGCTACTCTCTAAACCCTATAGAAAATGTGCATCTCAAGAAAGACCAACAGTGGCAGTGGCGGGCGGTGGGGGTGAACTTTGGAAATGTTGACAGCAACCTATGTACAAGCGTGCTTGATACAATGGAATGATGGATTGTTACAAGATTTCTAAGAGCCCCCAATAAAATGAATAATTTTTTAAAAAGACGAACAACCAAATTACAAAAAAAAAAAAAATGGACAGAGGACATGAACAGACAGCTCCCCAAACACGATATTCGGCAGGCCAACAAGCACGTGAAGAAATGTGCCCCCACCAGCCTCCCAGAAAGGAGTCATCAATCAAAACGGTCGGGAGACATCCATCACCTCGCCATGGAACTGATAGCGCAGGCCAAAGCAGCAGGACTCCACACGTGCCTGAGAGATGAGCCCTCCCTTCGCTGCAGGCGGCAGGTGAAACAGCCCCACCACTGTAGAGAGCGGTCCTGCGCTTTCTTAAACAATTGGAACTAGAAGTGGCACCTGACCCAACAACATACCACTGGGAGTCTACCTGCAGGACTGAACGCACATGCACACCCGTGGTCATCGCAGCACTGGGCCCAGCAGCAAGAAAACAAACCACCTAAGTGCCCGTAGTGGAAGAAGGGCTATTAAAAAACACTTGACTGCAGACACACAATGGTACCTGTGCATCAATCGATCGTCATGATCAAATGATCAGACACCATGACACGGGTGGATTTGGAGGGCCTTCTGCTGAGTGAATTAGCTGCAAATAAAGGGGCAAATATTGTGTGAGGC